ATGATAAAACTCACCATCACACCGTGCATATGGTACATTTTCACGCATATCCCTAGCACCGTATTATGCAACGAAAGTGAGTCTTGCTATTCTTAGCGCCAAACATTAACTAATCAAAAAACAAGTAAAGTCTATCTCTTGAATAACTTTCTGCTGTAGTGTTGTGTTATCCCACCCAATGTACTGACAAATCTATCTACTCGTTATCCTTGCTTTCCATTCGCATACTCTCATAACTTCCAACTTGCTTATATTCTATTCATTGAGAGGCGTGCCCTATTTGGTGGATGTATTGGGACGCTACTACACTTGCCTTTTTAACTTGACCTCCTCCCTCTAGAATTCTCAGGATTGCTAATGTGACTTAGTCCTCCTATTAAAATCTCCTTCATGGCCCTAGAGATTTGTTTCCTACTGTACTGGTTAACTGATTTCATTCGGATCCAGTCACATAATATGCTTTACTAAAAAGCATTACTTCTCATGGTTTGTCATAAGCCTCATCAGACAGAGCGTATAGGCCATACTTCATAAGCTTGTAAAGATAAAGTATTGCTGATACAGGCCATAAGTTAAATTCAACTCCTGCGAATGATATAAACTGCAAAAGTCTAAATCTGGTCTCCAGCTGAATCTCAAGTTAATTTATATTCAATTTAGATCCGATTTATGCCGAATTCCCTTGACGGTTGTGCTTATCTCCCTCTGTAATTTTGCAACCGCCAGGCTTCTTAGGTTGCTGCTGTTTATTCAGGCAGACTACATTTACTGGGAACATTTTCGCTTGATTTCCGAATCTTTTTTACCCGTTCCTTCTTTATGATCCCTTTTTTCTGGCTAATTATACCGGCTTGATACAAGCGTCCTTTTTTTCCTGGTTTTGCAGTATCCTTGTTTTATTCAAGTTTGCTTAAGAAATAGTCAAAGTTATTGCTTAGGGCTTTTTTTCAGTCTCCTATTCATTAAATGTCGTTCAGCAAGGATGTCACTGACCACAATGATCTTCTTTTTTCCTTGAGTTTTCACTGTATGAACGCCTTTCTTCTGCTGCCTTCCAATTGATCTCATGTACAGTCTGTGCAATCTGTCTCGTTATATCTGCCCTTTCAATATTCATTTTCCTGCAGATCCTTTGGGGTTTCTTGATTTATATGCTGATTGTTTTCATGCTTCACCGATATACTTCTGCCACCAGATGCCGCATATTTTGTAGTAAACTGCTGAACATATGGGAATGGCAACAACCCCTACTTCTCTTGATTTATTGTGAATTCTATCCTTTCACCAATCTGGTTTATAAAGTTTAGGAGCTTATTGAATTTTTCTTCAACCTGTGACCAAAATGCAAGGTAGTCATCTAAGTATTGTATTGAGTAATAATAGTTGCAGTGGTGACGTCTTGAAATTCTTTTATTATTTGCTCATATATGCATTTGCAAGAGAGGTTAGAATGGAGATCAAATAGGAAGTTGAAACAATTATCATAGATTTTGGCAATGAATTTAGAACAATTAGTCCATTTTGTAAAATCAATTAGTCGTGTTACCGACTCCCTCCTGCTCTTACCTGTATCTAGGATATCCTCTTCTTTATCTAAGAGATAGTTAGCATCTTTTATCAATACATGCTTGTATACATAGATTGAACATTATAAGTTACGAATAATTATGTTTATTGAAGTTCCATGTCGTTGATTCTTTAAGGAAATTCATACAAATGTTTCAGTGTGTTTTATGATCTGTCGTCGAGCTTCGTGAGTTTCAAGCATATATCCTGGCGGTCACAGAAATAAGTAGACGGATAGCCAAACTGTCACAGGAATTCGGCATTACGGCGGATATTTTGGATCAGAATTGACTATAAAATCACTGGAGATGCAGCTAGTTACCAGTGTCAGAGTTTCACAGATATTAAGAGTAACTGGGGCTCCAAAAATTTCTTTGTGATACATTTTAAAAGAAAAGTTTATTGAAAGGAAGTCGTAAAATGGTCTCATTGGAAACTGGAGGATGATTGGCGCAGTTGACTGTTGAATTGCGTTTCACTCTGTACTGTGACACACATTATCTCAGCAAGTAGAATTTAGTCTATTTTTGATCTATTTCGTAAAGTATGGATTCTTGCTCTAATTACGCTTGTCACAATACATAATAAAGCTTAACACAAATGCATCGGAGTTTCAGAATGGTGAGCGGAGGACTTCTTCGCCCAATCCAACAGTCGCCATTCTGCGGCAAATCTCCTTCGGCTTCCAGTGAGACCATTCCACGAATTCCTTCTAACCAACTTTATTTTCAAAATGTAAAGTCATGCTAGGATAACTCACTTTAAAATGGAAAAGTGGTGAATTAAAAGTTGTGAGAGTGATTGGCTGGAAATCGAGGATAGTGAGTAAGTAGATTTAACAACACACTGGGCGTGATAACACAGCAGTACTGCCTCAAGTTAGTCGAAAGATAATCTTTTCTTGTCATTTTGACGAATTGGAGCTTCGTAGTAAGAATGGTAGCACTCACTGACAATGTCAACCACATTGCCGGCGAGTTGTCTGAGGATGTACCTAGTCCACAAACCAAAGCTGGAAGTTATCATAACTATTACGGGATAGAAATTCGGCCAAGGTGTCTCCAATTAGTTACTTCTGACAGCATTACTAAGTTGTGAAAACGGGATCAAACTACTTTCGTAAAATTTTATTATTTATTGCACTAAAACTGTATTTTTTATTTATATGTTATGACAAATTTTGTTTACATTTCTAACTTTTGATGTAGAAAAATTTAGTAATAATAATAAACGGCAAGAGCTAATGCTCGAAAAGTGCCCCTACTCTATCTGTATCGCTGCATTCCATGCAACCTCTTACTCCTACCATTACATTCTAGTAGATAAACGAACGTTTAAGAGGCTGAATCACATCCTTGTTGGACGGACTTTCCTTTCGTATGAAAGTGTATGATGAGATTCATAGGTCAATTTCATGAGAAGAGGACGGATGAGTCGTTTAGGTTTAATACGACGATCAGGTTGACGCAGTCCACGAGACCTACTCCCTCGTTTCGGATTAAAACGAGATGAGCTTTCGTCCATCATTCGATGGACATCTCGTTCCTGTAAAAGTCTCACGTTAACATTAGGGCAAGAAGACTATCTGGCTCGATCTTACCTCTTGTATGGAGTCAATTGCGCCAAAATAAAATTAAAAACCTATATAATTAGATATATAATGTTTTGCTTATTATCTTTCATACTGGTCCTGCTACTTTTGCTCGAGTGTGTACGTGTGTGTCACCATCTATGCGCAATACTCGTCCTAAATCAGAGTTACCAAAAGGCTAATGTCAGGCTCTCATCGTCAAGGTCAAGTATGGTTGAGATAATGAGCATATAGACACTAACACGCACAAATACACATACTCACACAATCGAGCGAAAATAACAGAACCAGTATGAAATAAAATTATTTTTCGCATTAAGTATTCTTTCGAGACTACCAGTAAATCAGTAGTATGAGATGTATCCACCCAATTTCGTTTAAGCTGATGAAGAAGAATTTTCCCACAATCATATGAGTTGAACTGACGTTTCCATTCCATTTCACACAACCTTGCTTTCCGCAAAGTTGTTCCCATCCAGGCACCAGTGGACTGCAGATTCGAACTCGCATCACCTCAGACGAAATAGGGTGAATACATTTCATCTTAATTTCCGATCATGTGTCTTCCTTACCTGTCGGAAAAGCTTATCATGTAAACTATCCGCCTTACTCTGAAGTTTCAGACGGTCTTGCCAACCAAGAGCATCGGCTGAAACTGGCAAAATGCCTGAAAGCTCGCTCTCCTTGTACCCGATTTCCTACACTTGCCTTCGTAAGCGTTTGGACCGATCGCAGCTTAGCAACATTGGAGGTGCAAGCCAAGAAATAACGACGAAATTGCACAAAGTCCAGCTTTAATGCATTAAAATTAGCCGGGGTCAAGGCAAAAGTTGTACATACACTTTAGACCCTTGCAACACTCCAGGCTGTTCGTGCAGAAGTTCTCCGCTTCAATGCAGTTCACGCAGACTCCGTTGTACGCGCTTTCCGGCCTCAGTTGGCATCGCAACGGCCGACAACAGGGCCTATGATGAATGAGGTATCGCGAGCACTCCTCGGCCGCTATTCGACACTGCGGCTGGCAATCGGACTGATCCGCTTCGAGGCCCGGCTGAAGGGCTGGCGACTGGCATTCGAGAAGACGGAAGACGAGAAAGAGGCAAAGTCCAAAACCGCAAAGTCTCGCTCGAATCGGGCGCATGATGTGGACGGCTCGAGGGAACGACTCGTTCTGCGCGCGCCTCGAACAGCTCAAATCGGCCGCCGAGCGGCTAATGGCGGCCGATCGATGGCGCCTCATTTGAAAGTCGGCTTTCTGGTGGGAAAATGGGTTATTTTGACTTTTGTTTTGGCTGTGATTGTTACGTGAAGAAAGTCGCATAAAATGACTCGAATTGCCATTTTGCCGAAAAGGCGTTTGAAAGGAATTCACAAATTGGTCACTAGGCCAACAGAAATAGTGTCGAATGTTGGATTGTTTGATTGAAGAGTGGCGAAAATCTGTATTTCGCTTTTCCTACTTCGCCTAAATCATTGAAGATGAGTAAAGCAGCTGTGGACGGCGTGTGAAATTGATGTCGGTGTGATGGAGTACAGGTTCCACTTTGATTTCTATCCTGCAATCTTGACGCATGTAGGTTTGAGTGGGACAGAATTCGTGACTCACTGTCACCAGCAACGAGAGTAGCGAAGACTGGTGGATTGTGCAAAAGAGAAGTGCTCGGTTCATCATCTCGCGACTCCAATCAGCTCATCTCATCCAGACTCAACTGCAGTTTCTTAGCGACGAGATTGGAAAACGGATTGTGAATATCGTTGCCACGTTACCGCGGCATTACACGATCAGAGACGAGGTCGAAACTGCAGACAACTCTTGGTGAGATGAGCTTTTGAAGCGAGAATTAGTGAAATTCAATCGCATTGTGAGGCCTACTGAATGTGGGAAAAAAATTCTTATTTAATAATTAATGACTATAAAAAAACACCCTTAATGGCAAATACAATTTATTCAAAGATATGAAAGGAAAAATGGTGTCCTATTTGGTCGCAGCCTCCTTTGGCTTTATAGTGTTGGTTCGACCTTGTTCTCGCAACTCGGTCAGGGAATGTACCATACTTTGGCTTTTCTCTGTCTCGTCGTGAAAGGCATCGTCAGAGCAAGAAAGCATACTTTATGAAATATGCAGACATCCAACAAACCTGGACTTTAGAGGCAGTTTTCCTGCAAACATGCATCTTCTTTCCGTTTATGCGAAGAAAAGTTGGGTCTCGACGAATCTCTGGTTTCATAATTGTTGAGTTTACTTTCATTTCGAGTGAAAGTATTTGTTTGTAATATGCAAAGTTTTAGTTGATCCCGTCTTCTTCAATTCAATTGTTCATTATGCGAAGAAAAGTTGGGTCTCGACGAATCTCTGGTTTCATAATTGTTGGGTTTACTTTCATTTCGAGTGAAAGTATTTGTTTGTAATATGCAAAGTTTTAGTTGATCCCGTCTTCTTCAATTCAATTGTTCATTATGCGAAGAAAAGTTGGGTCTCGACGAATCTCTGGTTTCATAATTGTTGAGTTTACTTTCATTTCAAGTGAAAGTGTGGCGTGAAGAGATTCAAAGATCGGCTCCACCAGAAGACGACGACGGATTCCTCTTGACCAGCTGTCGATTGGCTTTACTGGACCATTCATGCTGACGCTGTTGCCTTCGACTCCGGTGAAAAGGTGCTAAGCTTTCGTCCATTTTATGACGAAAATCATCATCGTCACAACAAAATTCAAGCCAACAAGTCAAGAAAACTCACCGACAAATCTCTAAAAAGTGGTATATATCCTCTACATTTAGCCTCTTTGATCCGGTATAAAGTAATTTGGTTAGTTACGATCATATGTCAACTTCGATGCCTGTGAGTGTGTCTGTCTCTGTATGTGTTTGTGCCTGTTTGTGTTCACAATTCTTTCCATTTTGTCGGTTTGCATCGTTGAAGACCGCCAGCAATGACACTTACAAAGCATTGAATCTTCAGAAAAACGGATGCCGGAGCCACCCAGAAGCCTGCCAATGCTGTTTTCGAGGCAAGCATCTTCGATTCCGGTAAAAATGTGCTAAGCTTTTCTCCGTCATATGACGAATATCATCGTCACAACGAAATTCAAGCCAACAAGTCAAGAAAACTCACCGGAAAATCTCTAAAAAGTGTCATATGTACTCTACATCTGGCATCTATGAGATGTATTCACCCTATTTCGTTGAAGGTGATGAAGCACTAGATGGATTTTCCCATGATGATATGTTTCCATTGCATTTCACATAGCCTTGTTTTCCCAAAAGTTTTCCCATCCCGGCCGGAGTGGACTGCACTTTCCACCTCGAACCGGTCTCATCAACCGACCTTCGAATCTCTTCACCCAACACATTCACTCGAAATGGAAGAAAGCTCAACAATTCTTTCCATTTTGTCCATTGGCATCGTTGAAGGTCGCAAGCAATTGCACTTAAAAAGCATTGAATCTTCCGAAAAACGGATGCCGGAGCCACCGAGAAGCCTGAATAGTGGCCGACTGTTGCATTTTCACACGACAACCC